TTGGCCTGAAAACTGCCTGGTGGGCAATTTAGTAGTCTTATTGGAACCCTGCAGGGAAAACTGAGACATGCTGTATAAATACAGCCTTAGACTTCAACTTGGCTATTGAAGGCACTGGCGTACATTTTGCCCAGGGCTGGTACCACCTTTCTGAAAAGAGTGATTTTGTGGCTGCTTGACATATTCCTTGGGGTGCGTGAGGGTGGATTGAGCACCAACTCTCTTATCTTTGGTAGCAGCAGGAACCACAGTCCGCTTTTCTAAGCCAAGGGGTAAAAGTAGATACCAGGCACAACCCTATCACAGAACGAATGTGTGGCCTGCTTTCTCCTAGAAAGGTGAGATCTCCCTGATCTCATCTGACCAGAATGAGCCACACTAACAGTACTGTCTCATGGGCACATAAGTTAGCTCATGTGCATCAATAATTGCATCGTTGGGTGTGCACTGAATGGCCCACCGAGGCAGCTGAGGGCCTCCCATGGAGGATCATGCTGGTATCCTTGCTCAATTGGACTGAATGATGACAGCAAAACTGGACTAGCTCTGCCTGAGATCAATAGCACTGGGTCATTGAGGCAATAATCTGAAAAAGCACATCCATCCCACAGGGGCTGGGCCCTGTTATGTACCATCGTTGGATGGGGGTGGATGACTGGGAGATTCTGTGATATTATTGGATGTAGTCCCACTTTGTATTCAAGAAGTGAATACTTCAGTGGGAAATCAAACAGTGGGATAGCTATCCCCCAACTTGTGTAACAGACATTATTAGTAAATGACACAAACAAGTGGTGGGACAGCTATAAGTTTATATATATCATGACCTCTGATTGACCACTGCAGATGCATTATGGATTGTTTGTGATCCCACAGGTTGACCACACCTAACTGTCCATTGGAGAAGATGCTGAGACTGCATATTTCCATATGTTAAGGGCACTATCAGATCCACTCTTAAATACACACCCCACAACTGGGATGCTGTGAATCACAGATGGTACCATTCTAAACAAGTGGCATAGTGATTTTATCCAATGTCCTTGATGCTGCCAGGAGCCCTCCAAATTGAAACCCTGGCTCAACATGTGGCCCAGGCCTTGAATGTTACACGTCAGGCTTTAGCATTGTTCATAGATGAGACTTCTCAGAGGATAAAGATGGTTTTGCAAAACCTCATGGCTCTTGCTTTGCTGACTGCAACACAAGGAGGCATTTCTGCCTTCTTACTCACAAAATGTTGTATTTATATCTTTGATCACCAGACATAGGTGTAAAAATCTTTCACAAGATAGATGCAGAGATTTCTGCTACCCAGGTGCTGCACAAGGATTCCCTTAACGAACAGTGTGAATCCTTGGTATTCAACTGGTACTTGATAGCCCTGTATTGTTGTAATATTTGTGTACATGGGCCAGTATTATGTGCAGCTCACAAAAGGTAACGCATCCTAGACCTTTGAGAGAGCGGAGTGTGGGGAACCGCTCAGACTGCTTCAAAGCTCAGAGTTGTCTAAGGACACCTGAGGACATGATTCTGGTTATCAGTGCAGGTACATGACGGGACTTAATTTTATAGCCATGGTTTAGCAGTGAGTAAATAAACATGCACTGGCTATGGCACGAGGTAAGAATGTAAATATAAGGTAACAACCCATATAAGAACTATAAAATAAAGGCAGGCTGCTCTTGTGCTCTTGCCCTCTTATGCTGTTGTGCTCTTGTGTTCTGCTTGGCTCCATGCTGCATGCTGTTGATGCTGATATGCTGCATATGTGTTTTCTTTACCATTGCTTCTTGACTCTCATACTTTCCTTGGGCTCATGAGTGGGCTGACACCAGGTAGGTATTATTAAACATTGTGTTTTTAAAGTATCCCTATGTTGTTATTTTTAGCCTTATATTTAATAATATATGTATTATCTTAGTTATTTTCCTCAATGCTGGGACAAAATACTTGCCACCTTCAATTTAAGGCACTGGCTTGGTATATGTGAAGCTTAGAGAACACCCCCAGGATTTAAAAAAGAAACATACATGCTAACTCTTCTCAGTGTAATCCTTGGTCAGAAGCTAAAATCTCTTAAAACAATGTTTAAGGTTGGCCAGATATCTATAAAGTCAAGGAGCATTATTTTCACATTCAAACTAAGTGAGTTTAAAATGGATTTGCATTACCAGTCCTGGGTTTTAATAAAATCCTTTCTGCTCTGACATTATTTTAACTAAAAAATGAAGTAAAATTTCCCACATACAAAGCTCTGAGCCCTGCAGGATGATGAGCTTGTCTTTTTCTAACTCCTAATTTCTCTGTAAAGTGCATTCAAGTCTTACACTTGTTATGTTTTTGAGAGAACTGGATATTTTATAGTTAATTTAGGAACTCAAGAAAAAAACTGAAAATTCCTATGGTACTCTAAGTGACACCTACATTGTTAAAATACCTATTTTTGATCATGAAATGAGTTGATGTTCCAAATATGTAACTAAAATATTCAATGCAATTTAAAATACACCAACTGATCATTCTGATGCTTATAATTGAACTGAGTGCAGAGAAGACTTTGGCCTTAGGATCAGTGTGGGCTTTGTATGACTTCTATCTCATTACCAGGGGACTGGTATCTTAGTTAAAGTTTTTCACAGTGTGATTTCTCGCTTCTTATCATTTTCTTTCTCTTTCTGCTTCCTGAGTGCCATGGTTGGGCACTTTTTCCTTCACACTCTGTCTTGTCATCCTCGTTTTGTCTCAGAATCAGGACACCATGGACTACAAATGAGTAAAAGATAAACCTCTTTTCTGTCAAATTACAAATGTTGGAAAGTTACTGTATTAGTAGGTCAGTGTTTCTGGAAATAGTAGTTCAATCATACTTCAAATAAATACTTGAACACTTGGTGCTCAAACACAACCAATGAGAACTGTTATTTCTTGGGATGGCAGACAACTAACCGTGTTATTTACTTTCTTGTTGGGACAAAATACCTGACACACAAAGAGAAAAGATTTATTTTGGCTCACAGTGTATAGAGGTCTCATTCTATACTTAGCTGCTTATAAGGCAAGAAATCTTATCTGATTATCTATTTTTGCCTGGCCACCCATGATTTCTGGAATCTTGGGGGAAATTTTTATTACTGAATAATTCTTGAATGTTGGACATCAATGAAACCAGCACTGTGTGGATGATGTCAAGGTCTTCTGCCAGTGTGAGGAGTAGCCAGGCCCCTTAAATCATGGTTGTAAAGGTGAGCACTCTGAAGTGAATCTCAGGGAACCAGAAAAATTTCAAAATGTCACATAAGATCAGCATGGCAAAGTTTGGAACTAACACGAATTTAGCTAGCAAAAACTGTTCTCAACATGCAAAACATAAATTAAATTACTTTGTAAATTATACTAGAACAAGGTGAACTATCTTTGCTATAAGTTTGTTTTACTTATTTTCTAGAACAAATAAAAATAAGGCAAATTAAAAAACTCAAACCCTGTTTTTCTCTATGTATCTTATATCTATCCATTACTTTAAGCAAAGTCCAATTATGCTCATAAAACTTTTCTATGTTCATTAAATCAAATGTAGCATATTATGCTGAAAAAAGATGAATTCTTGTTACTATCTAGAGCAAAGTAGATTTTTCTTGTACAGTATTTTCAACCATTTTAAAATGTATAGATTTTTGGTATGTGTTGCCTGATATATATATGAATACATATAATATTTCACCCCCTTTGGTGCAGGGACATGAACCTTGGTCCGAAGATGTTTACCAATGAGAAAGTTTCCCTGCCTTTACATATATATATATATATATATATATATATATATATATATATATAATTCCAGAATTGTATATTCAAATTAGTTGTTGTTTCACTTTGCTTGTTCCTGTTCTTTCTCTCTGTTTCACATTTCCTCACGTTATATATGGGGAGTCCGAGAGGGAGAGAGTGAAACAGAGAGAGAGAGAGGTTCCCTCTTGAAAGTTGCCTCCCAGCTTGTTATTAAGGAGCTTTTAAAAACAGGATCTGAAGGAGCTGCCCTAACTGTGACTTACAATAAATCATGAAAAAATATATATTTTCTCATGATTCTTTAAGAGTGGATAAACTGATAGAACGGAAGCTAAAAGAGTGATTAGCTACAAATGGTAGTTATTGAAAAATATACAGTAGGGTATTTTCAATATTATAAAACATGTACCACCAATTACTTTCTCTAGTCTTTTGCTACAACTCTCCTGTATTAGGTGAACAACTAACAAGAATTCCTAGTGTTGATTTAAATAAGTAACTAGTTGTTTGCATGATTTTTCTTTGGTGTGATAAAGCAGAACACATTTCCATGCAAGGACTCATTTCTGAGGCCAGATGTTGGAGTTGAAATTCAGCTGTTCACCTAAACCCATAGTCACTTTTGAGAAACTATGGAGGCTCAGGAAAGCACAAGAAAGTGCATATGGGAGGACTGCTAGGAACAGTACTAAAGACTTTCATGGAAAACTTCAGTTCTTTATTTTACATACTTGGGCACAACCCCTCAGTCAGTGTCCAGGAAAGGGCTATCATCCTTTCACTCTTGGCTTGGGCAAGCCATGTGAGCAGAGCAAGTCTTCATCAGGCAGGGACTCCATTGAAAACAGGGTTGTCTATGTATTTGGAAAATCCAAGCAGGCAAGAGCAATGGGTTTCCCCCTAGTTGCACAGGGAGTCTTTAGGCACTGAGGAGAGAGTGTTGGTTCTGGTCCAATGGGTGGCTCAGCCCCCTGCATACTGGACTCATATCTGGCCCTGACAGGCGTCCCCACCCAAAAAAGTGGCGGAGGAAAACATCTGCACTGCGATGATTCCCAAAAGTGAACCGCGCTCTGTGTACCCTGAGCCCTGGGCTTCCTGTACTGTTTCTTCTGTCCAACCCAGGGAGTCCCACAGCCCAGCACAGAGCACACTACCCTGCCAACCCAAGTTTGCCTGTGGTGAGTACCAGACCTTAGGAGAAGGCCAACGGGCAGTCCCTCAAAGGAAGGTGCTGCAGACTGCATCACTGAGGAGTAGGAGGTCAGAGGGAACCTGCAGCCCCAAAGGAGACAAGGAGATGGGAGGAGGCAGCCAAGAACTGATCATGGAAGCTCTGGGAGGTCTTTGGGATGTCTCACAATTGGAGCAGCTCAACCTGGCACTGCCTGCAGTAGCAGCTACTTGGGAGACCTAGACCTGAGTTTCAGGTAAACCCCAGAGTTTGTGGGCAACTTGGAAGCATAGCACAAAAAACTGTTAACATGAAGAGAGTGCAGCTCAGATGCTTCCTATCATTAGTTTACAAGCTGCTCCGCAGGTACTGTTTACAAGCTTCCATGACTCCTCTCAACTCTTTACAAACTTTACTTAATCAGTGACTGCTGAAACTCTGCCTTTGAGTCATGGTATCCTAAGATTCCAGCTCTTAATTACATAAACCCAGTGAACTGAGTCCAGTAAGTAATTTGCAATGAGTATGTGCTGGGAAATGTATGTGGGATTGTGTGTGTACAGTGAATTAGAAAACAGAGCAGTGCTCACTAGGGATGACTGAGTCTGTGGCTCCTCACAGACTCCTTTCAAAGTGAGTATGAAATAGAAACTCAATTCTCTCTCTTTCTCTGTCTCTCTTTCTCTCTGATTCTCTCTCTCTCTCTCTCTTTCTGTGTAGGTGTGTGTGTTTCTTGAAAATATAACATGGTGCAAGTGATTCTGGGTCTAGCCCATTTAGTAAGTATAACACTCTTGCTTTCCTGCAAATATGTGAAGATAGTTGTAGCTGACATAGGATCAAGAGTAATTTACTCAGAAGGAAAGTTACCACGTTTAAAGGTAAATTTGGTGCTTTGAAGGAATTGATCAATCAGTTTTATTTTCCCAGAACATGAAGTTTGTCCACATTTGCTCCTTTTGCTATAGTTACTGATTTCCTCTTGGTATTTTTCCAAAAATGGGTGTTTTAATAACTACAAAATTTAAAATTCTAATTAAAAATTTTTAATCAATACAAAAACAGCAAACCAGTGGATTGAAAGTCTCTCAATATTTGATATTGCATGTGTTATTTCTGTACATGACAGAAGATATAGAAAACTTCTCCATTTTTCATAAAAATATACAAATTAATAGTAAAAAAATTAGGCATTTTTGAACTAGGCCTTAGATTTTTTTCAGTAATTTCCTTAAAATACATTCTCTTGTAGCACAAAAAATTAAAATATCACACACACATGCAAAAATCTATCTCTGAACTTAACATCATTAAGTAATTACAGTGTATATATGAAGCATGTCAAGTGATAATAAACATGATAAGTAGAAGATAAACTACAACCTAGGGTGGAAATATGCCATGGAGGAGCACATTATATGGTTGGTGATTTAGCTCAGCAGCATAAGTACCTGCCTGGCAGACGTGAGGTTCTAAGTTCTGTCACCAGTCCTTAGTTTGACCCTTCCCCACCAAAAAAAGAAAAAAAGGAGCATATTAAAAGGAGAATATTAGAAGGAGCATCTGTGGATCAAAGAGTCCTCTATCCTTAACAAATCTGCATCCTAAATAAAAGGGAAAGACCAATCATATAATTTAGTGACAGTAATGGAAAAACATGTTGGTTATTCAGTGAAGCTTTTCCTGATTCACTTTTGAGGAACCTGTCCTGTACACGTATCACACAGACACGCAGAGACTGAAAATGGAATGGGAGAGCAGCCTCAGCACTGCCCCATAACACAGCAGTGCACGGTCTCCTGTGCATTCTGAGAGGGCTCATGTAGTTGTCATTGTTGTTAATCTAAGTGTTCTGGACAATTTGGATGATAAAACTCTGGTCCTTCATGTGGTTTGGCCTTATTCAATAATTAAACTAGAAATTATCGAGGGATAATTGGACTTCATGTTTAATAAATATTCTCCAAATATTTCTATCAGGATTAAAATATTTTAAATTGTTTTAAACCAGTCTGAAGTAATTAAAATATGTATTGTACATGGTAAGACATTTCAGTTAACATATATATTATATAATGGTCACATCAGGGTAGTTTGTGTTTGCTATCTCCTATGATTTATCAATAGTTTTTGGTGGCATCAGATGCTACACATGAAACCGCAGGACTTAATGGCAGTGTGTTTCTTCTGATTGGTGAATTGGACCATTAACAAGGAGCACTTTAACTGATATATATTGTTTTACTCTTGTCATATTATTATCTTGCTTTTGATTCCTTGTCTTTCCTTTCTGTTTAATTGCTTGCTTTGCCTTATAGCCTCCTTCACTTGATTATTGTTTTAATAATAGTCCCTGTGATTCTTTCTAGAAAATCTTTTGTAACAATTGGTGAGCTGATTTAGTGGTCATGAATTTCTTCACTTGTTTTTTGCCATGGAAATGTCTCATTTCTCCATTAATTGTGAAGGATAGCTTTTCAGGTGCCATCAACCTGTCTTGGCAGGTGTTTTCTTTAATGATTTGAAATTTTTCACTCCACCTCTCCTTGACGTAAGGGTTTGTGCTGAAATATTGGGTGTGATTCTGAAGGACTTTACTTTATATGTGATGCCTTTCTTTACTACAACAACCTTTAAAATTTTGTTCTTGTGCCAAAATTCTGGAATCTTGAATATTACATTCTGAAGTACAGATTTATCTTGGTCATGACTATTTTGAATTCATATGTAGAATTCTTATTCCAACCTCTGGAAGTGTTCTACCATTGCTTCTCTGTATGTTTATTCATGCCATTTTTGATGACTTTTTCATGTTTATTAATTCCTGTCAACCCTATAATCTTTTCTGAATCATCTTGCAGCTATTGAATTGATTTTTCAAGGTTCTTTGCTATTTTAAAGAGATCTTTCTTTTTGTGATTACTAAAAAATCCTGTCTTCTAGGTCTGATAGTCTGTCTGAATTTCATTTAATTTCTTTTGCAAACATTTAATGGAATTTTAATTTCCTACATGTGTGTTCGATTTTCTTTCTTGGATTCCATTTGTCTCCTATGGTGGATATTCATTATTTTCCTATACTCCTTTTTTGAAAAATCTACGTCAACTATACGTTTGCTGTGGCAGTCCTTCATCATAGTTTTCATGTCTTTTTTTGCTTGTGAGATTATTTCTTTTTTAAAAAAATTATTTAAAAGGAAAAAGAGAAAAAACAAAACAAAGTGGTGTTAGGGTACAAGTAATACAGAACTATAAAAAAAAACAGTAAGAAATCACCAGTTAATAGATTACACATTATCATCTTAGAGATAGTTGATCAAGTCACAGTATCAAAGCATACAAAGTGGACATTCAAACAGTGAGACTGCAAACAGTTGTGTTCAATGATCAAACCAAAAACATTAATATAGTCATCTATTTATCACCCCTAAACACACTTGCAGTTGTATCCTTGAGAGCACTTTTTTTTCCTCTCTTTTTTACAACAAAATTTACACATTTTGGGTTTTATTACTCCTTAGTTCTTATTAATTTTTTTGGAAGAGAATAAAGTCAAATATGACAAAACAAAGCTTTCAGTCAAAACCAAGGGTAGACATAGCACATGATGTAAAAAAAGAGTACAAGGTTATCAACAATGGTTACGATAATGCCTCTTACTTCCTTAAAATGAATTGTCTATCTCATTAGGTATTATAAAGTTGAACAAAAAAGTAGAGAACAAGACCAATAAAACCTAAAATTTGTAAACATTATAGGACTTCCAAAGAAGATAATAGTCAAACCAGAATGGGCATCATAGTGAATCTTATTGCCTTCAAAGTAGTTGCCTATACCCTCAAACTTGATACTATCATACAGAACAGAACAGTCTAATCAGTCAAAAAAAGATAGTGGGAGTATTACAGGGATTCAGTTAATAGGAAATCAAAAAACTTACTATAATATATCCTGCTAATTTTTTTGATTTTTTCCCTTAATTAAAAAATCATAAAAAATAACTAAATAATTTTTTTAATGAGTAAGAGAGAGATTGAGATAAAAGAGGACATAACAACATAACAGTACAGGTCAAAGCATGACAGTTTCAGCAACCTAGTGCTTCACTACCAATAACCCGACTTAATGGTAGTTACCATAGTGTCTTTTTCCTTGAAATATTTTAATATAACTTCATATACTATAGTTTCAAACATTTCAAGTCAGTGTAAAACCATTCAAGCGGATGAAAGCATTGTAGGCTATTTAGAACCAGCTAACAGAGAATGAACAATGGTTTCTATATTATCTCTTTGCCTATAAAAATTTTTGTTTATACTATAACATATAATAAAATCCAGCAGGATACATCATGATAAAACCACTGGAGACAGAAGAGGCATAGTTTGTTGGGTCTTCAAAACAAGATGATACTAAATTAGGACTAGCTATTTTGATGACTTATTTTCTTCAAAATAGCTGTTCATTTCATCACAGGCAATAATATCAAGCAGCCCAGAATAAAGCCATTCCAATTAATAAGTGAAAGCTTTATAAGGCTTCAGGGACACATAATGGGGAATCATGATTACCACATATTTTTATATATTTGAATCATCACTTACCTTCGGGAAACTATTCTGTATTCACACATGCGGAACTGATTTATTTCACTTATGAATATGGTCTCAAGCTGCGCCCATTTATTGAAAAATACCTCAAAGTGATACTTCTTTATAGCTGAGTAATACTCCATTGTATAGAAATACCACAGCTTTTTTAACCATTCCTCAGTTGATGGACACTTGGGTTGTTTCCAAGATCTGGTGATTACAAATTGTGCTGCTATTAATATAGGTGCACGTATATCACTGTGGTATGATGCTTTCAGTTCTTCTGGGCATATACCTAGAAGTGGAAGAGCAGGAACAAATGGGACTTCCAATCCCAGCTTTTTGAGAAATCTCCAGACTGACCTCCACAAAGGCTGTACCAGTCTACACTCCCAACAACAGTGTAGGAGAGTTCTTTTTCCCCACAGCCTCTCCAGCATTTGTTGTTGTTGGTTTTCTTGATCCTGGCCATTCTTTCAGGAGTGAGATAGAATCTCAGTGTGGCTTTAATTTGCATTTCTCTAATGACCAATGAGGATGAACATTTTTTCATGTATTTATTTGCCATTTGTATTTCTTCATCTGAGAAGTGTGTATTCATCTCAGATGCCCATTTTTGGATTGGATCTTTGAATTTTGGGGATCTGAGTTTTTCTAATTCTTTA